TCCTGCCAGAGCGGTACCTATTTATCTACTTGCACTTTGACGTGCTTTCGAACTGCTAGGTTGGCAGGAGCAGGGACCGAGCAACGGGAGCTCACCTCGTCGCAGGGATTCGAACCGCCGACCTTCTGATCGGCAAGCCCAGAGATTCAGAGATAACTGAAAGAGATTATATTTACCTTAGGATAATACAGTGGCAAAACATGTGAAGAGAGGTTCCTACTGTAGCTCTAACTGACAACTCAAAGATTGCAATATCTGATGCCTGGCAAAGATGTGCAACTTTTATTCCACAGAATTGTGGGTGATAAGTGACAACTGAAGTGTAAGTTATGGGAAACCTGAGAGAAGTCCAAATAGATATGAGGTAGTATCTATTTCAGTGTCTCTTCCATCAGGCTGATAATGTCAAAGGACACTTGCTACCACCATTTTGCCTGTGCAGTTTCAGTAAGCAGAGGTTATGAGGGGGCTATCACATCTCAATTCTCAATGCAAAATCCTACAATATTGTTTCCCATGCTGTTTAACATACATATAATTCCCCCTAGTGAAATAATCCAGGGATTTGTGATGTGGTATAAGTCTCTGCTGTCTTCATAACTCTAAATCCTAATACAAATAATTAATTGAAACAAAACCCTTCATGTTTAGGATACAACATCAAACTGAATGTCATTTCCCTATTTTCTACATTTTTGTCACATTTATAATAATGATATGTTGTATGGATGAGTAACACATAAACAGAGTATTATTAAATATCTAAGATGAAATAATAAGGGAAATGGCAATCAGCTGAAATACGTAGTTAACACTCAAATGAAATTATTTCTGTCAGTGTTCTTGTAAGTCTAGTTGTTGTTTGCATCTGTTTGTTTTGGGGGGCAGAGTGTGCTTTCAGGGGTGAAGTCAAACTGTCGGAGAGTTACAGCATCTGCTGTGGCTATAGAGACCAATAAGGGGGAGACATGTTTTGTTGCAGCAGGACACATGAAGGCATCCAGTTGTGCTGATGCAGATGTACCATGGTGTTTCTTCTTTCTGTGGTCCTCCCTGCGGTCATTTCTCCTCTGGTCACTGCTGTGGATACACAACCTGACAGTCTCCAGGCACTACAGTCTGCAAGGGATTCCCACATGGTGGGGTTGATTTGGCCAGCCTTCATGTCTTTGTAACACAGAGTTGGTCTGCCAGTGGGCCAGGTGCTTGAAGCCAGCTCCCCATAGAGCAAGTCCTTGGGGATAGTACCAGCTTCCATTCTGTGGACATGACCAAGTCAATAGACATCACTGAGACAGGAGTGTGAACACGTTGGAAATGTGGGCTTGAGAGAGCACTTCTTTGTTTGAGACTCAAACAAGTCCTACCACCTCATGCCCCAAAACTTCCTGATGCAGCGCATATCGAAGGCATTGAGGTGTTGCTCCTGGTGAGTGTAAGTTTCCCACAATTCACTACCATAAAACAGAGCGCTCAACACACAAGCCTGGAAGACCTTCATCTTGGTATTGGTCATTAGCATCACATTCTCCCTTTTGGAGAAGTAAGTCTTTGCTATAGCTACCTTACCAATTCAGCTCAATGTCAATGGAGAGGTTGCTGGTTATAGTGGAGCCCAAGCAGACAAAATCATCTATTACCTCAAGCATGTGGCCACCAATGCTGATGCGTGGAGCGCTGGTGATGTCCTCACCCAGAATGTTGGTCTTTGTCAGGCTGAAGGTGAGGCTGAACTCCCTGCAGGCTTGGGCAAAACATTTGATGAATCTCTATAGAGCTTCCCCAGAGTGTGCTGTCAAGGTCGCGTCATCTGCAAATGGCATCTCTCGGATAAGGACCCACCACACTTTTGTCTTGGTGTGGAGACATGCCAGGTTGAACAGACCCCGTCAAGTTGAAGGCAAATGAGATTAAGAAGGCCCCCATTCCTAGCAATGGCAGAAATTCTCCAACCATTCTTCTCCATGCAGTTGTGCGTGAGTAACTTTACTTGAGGACATAAAATCTGTATGACCAAATCTCCCTGCTACTTTTAAAATGTTTAAATTCTTTACAATGTATTTATATTGATTGATTCATCTGACATATTGATTCATCTGACATATGCAGGCTACAGAGAAGATTTTTTCCCCTCTTTTTCCTTTTGTGGGATAACAAAGCCTTCCTTTAAAAAAAAATTGCAGGCTGGACACTCATAACTTTTCATTCATAGAAAATAGCTGCTCTTTTAAAACTACCATTTTACCTAATTTTGATTGTTCACATATTCTTTCAAAGGAAGTGTGCCCTTTCCCTCTAGCTAAATTACTATCATATCCAACTTGTCCACTCCCTTAATAGATTTCTGCAAATATTCAGTAACTTTTTTTTACAAGCAGTGAACTTTACAAGGGATTAAGAACAAAGCTTGTATATCAGCAAAATCATGGGGTAGAGTTCTCCTTGAACTTTACTACATAAAGCTAAAGGTTTAGGGTTGAATTTTTGAATGTCTGTTGAAGAACATTCTTTGTTGCTAATTGTACAACTTTCACCTCGCCAAATACTCATGTGCTGATTGACTCAGTAGAAAAAAGGTGGTTTTAGGTCAAAAACTTCTTGTCTTTCAGCATTTTAGCTAGGGCTGCCATAAGTCCTGATTTTCCTGGAACCAGCCTTTGAAAATTGCATCCAGAATAATTTTTCAGAAATCAACAATGGGGGTTAAATCATGTCAAAAATGCCTTTAAAAATGATTGTAGCTTTACTTTAAAAAAAATCTCAAAAACTTTGGTTCCCCTACAAAGAGAACTTCAACTGTGTCCCGATTTTCACGTTTGCAGATATGGCGACCCTAATTTTAGGCAACTTTGCATTCATACTTTTATTTGCTCCTGATTTGTTTACCTTAGAAATATAAATAAGGCCCTCCAGTCATTTCCCATAGAAGAGGATGTTCTGAAACATTCTTATCAGAGGATGTTCTACATCATTTCTCTTTTTGGCATATCTATTTATAGTTGCTGATTTCCTAACACAAAGGACATAAGGACATGCAGAAGATGAACACAAATGTTTAGGCGTTCTGAATTTGTCATCTATTATCGGGAAACAGTACAGACACAATAAAGGGACTTAGCAATATCTGACAGGGCTGAATATGATGTTTGCTTGAAATAATCCCTTGTTTTACATGTTGTTGAACAAATAGGAAAAAACCTCACATTTTTGCGGGGCGCGCGATCAGTGTACTGAAAAATATTGGCACTATATTTCATACATTACAGTTAAGCAAGTATTTCCTACACAGATTATATCCATAAAGAGTAACGTTTGGTATGAAATAACTGCAGTTTAAGCAATAGCCTACACACTATCTCCATCTTTTATCTTCAGTTCCTCCTAGTCCTACTTCTTGGGCTATTCAGATTGCACCTTTGTAGTGTAGAGTTAGGGTTCCCAAATTGTGGACCATGGGTACTTCATTCAGGTGGCCTACAACATGGCTGTAAAAAGACAATTGAAAAATAATTCAGCAACTAGCACAGTATATTACAATTGCTACAAAAGGCAGAAAACTTGTTAGGTGGTCCACCAAGACACTCAGCATTTTTCATGTGGTCTGTCAGGGGCAAGGGAAATCTGGAGCCACTGGTGTAGAGGCCATCATGTGGATAAGCATGTGAACCTTACTTGATCTGCAGAATATGTTTGTCAGCTGGAAAAAGCTTTTCTCCAGGCAACATCCAAACAGGCATGTGGTCTTTACTTCACTTAGCATGTTGAACCTGACAAAAAAAACAAAATCTTCTCCCCATCTACTTAATTTTCTAAGCTAGACCAGATTCAAACTTCACCAATGATAAGTGGGAGAAAGTGGGTGAGAGGCAAAACAAAAAAAGGGGGGATGCATGGAGCTCTATCCACCGCCCCCCCAAACACGCATGAACTAGAAATGCAGACACAGAGCACACACACACACACAGAGAGAGAGAGAGAGAGAGAGAGAGAGAGAGAGTGTTTGGTGGCATTGGTGATTACTTGGACTGGTTGTTGCATTGATAGCTTTTCTTGTGCTGGATGAGCAGCACATGCAACCACAATAGCTCTATCACATGCTGAGTGAATGCATGGGGATCACACTCAGGAGTAGCTATACCTTCAGGGTTTATGCGAAAGGGCCCTGCCACACATATACCCCCTCTATACCCAATCAAGAACTCTGGCCAATATGGGTTACAAATCCAGTGCAAGCAGATTCCCTTAAACTGAGTTGGTCGTTTTTTCCTGGTTGATTGCTGCCTCTTCCTGCATGCATGGGAGAGTGGTAACGTTTGTTTAAACATGTGAGTGGAACCTACAAAAAACTGGCTCCATGGGAGCATGGTTAAAGTCCCCCCATAGGATATATAGGTCATGTAGTAATGATGATCCTGAAAGTTAAGGTATTTCATATCAGAGCTTGTTATTGCCAGTGTATTTGATTGATCACAGTTTCTACAAAACCCTGGATTTGATCCATATTTTTTTTGCATCACGCTTCATTAAAAAGAAAAGAGTCCCTCTCTCAAAACCTGTTGAGTCACTCCAAACCTCTGAAACTAATTTCATAAGAGATCACAAGATGAAAGCTACCTATCAGTAGTTATTTTTAAAAATAAAAAAGTGATATGTTTATTTCTCAAGATGCTACTCTAGAGGTTGCATTTTCACAGCCTACAAGAATTTGCTCAGTCCCTGGAAATCTCATTTATTGAAATGACAATTGTTCTGATGAAGCAGATCTACTCTATGTCAATTCTTTACACATTTACATTGCATGGAAAATTTTGCATCCTCCTCTTGAGTACCAGTCTTGTGCGCAGATAAGTAACACAATTGAGGAGCCAGAAGGCCTGACAATAGTAAATGAATTGGATAACGGGAAGAGGCTGAGCAGAGCCTAGTTTGAAAGAACTATTGTGAATGTGTCCATAATTTCATTTCAGCTTCAGCAGTAAATTCTTAATTATGTTTTGCAGGATATGAACGATTACTCCCCAGTATTTAACAAACCTCTGTACAGGGGCATGGTTGCTCCTGATGCAATCAAGGGCACGGTTATAACAACAGTTGAAGCTGAGGATCTGGACCCTCCGGTAAGGAAAACAACAAAAAAAATTCTTAATACCCTGCACCCAGGAGAGATTTCTTTAAAAGCCGCATAAGTGGCCTTAATCCTCTGAACAACATAAGTGATTACTATGATTTATTTTTATTTATTTTAACCCAGCAGTGGCTCCTATGCATTTTTATGCCAGCCTATCCTCTGGCTTGAGCACTTCAATTATTGTTCTCAAGACGGATAAAGCCATACTGCAGAGTTCTTTTTTACTTCTCCCCAGCTCCCCAATGCCTCCTCCCTCCCTCCCTGCTCTGCTTTCTTTCCTTATGGAACCATTTATATGTGAAATCCTTATCAGGGTTTAGTGTGTTGATGATAAACAGGAAAAAGCAAGGGTGGGCCTGTATTTGGAACAGCTTTGTGGCTCCAACAGAAAACAAAGCAAAACTTTTGAAGGGCTGTTATTTCCTTGATTTGCTATTATTGTAAGCCTCCAAGCATGAAAAGTGTTGTGTGTGTGTGTGTGAAGAAATAAAACACCGCATTAAAAAATCCTTTTGTTAATATAATGTAAGAATTTAGCAGATTTGTTGGAATCAGCTTTCCCAGTAGCATCTGAGTTTCAGTCTGGCATTCGATTGACAGAGTTGTATTATATCCCATGAGTAAACTCTGATTTGTTGGTCAAAGCACTGATCTTAGAATCATAGAATTGCAGAGCCGGAAGGGATCATGAGGGTTATCTAGTCCAACCCCCAGCAATGCAGGAATCTTTTTGCCCTGCATAGGTTTCAAACCAATGACTATGAGATCAAGAGTCTCATGCTCTACTGACTCAGCTGTCTCACATTCTAGGGAGCCTAAAGGGAAAAGCTCGATAGTTATCGGACTGGTTAACATTCACAGGGAATATGCATGTTTTCCCAGTCTGTTGCTAGTGGGAACGTGACAGTCCCATGCAGTGCTTTTTTTTCCCTAAAAGAAAAATGTTTAGAGGTACTCGCATTTCCCTACTCATATTGAAATACTGCCCCTCAACGAGGCCAAACTTAGATTCACAAAATGTTTAGGGGTATACGTACTACTGCGTGCCCCAGAAAAAAGCACTGGTCCCATGTTCTTGGTGCCTTGGGCAAATTTCATGTAGGAACAATCCCTGCCTCTGGCGGTATGGGGAAACTTTCTGCAAAATAGTTACTTTCCCCCACTGGTCAGAATCTAGTCGTTTTCTCCTAGTAGATTGTATCTCTGCAGTCTTCAGTAATCTCCTTCTAACTATGGACAGTGACCACAACATTATTCCAGGTTACACAAATGGTTGAAAATGTTGGCAGAGGATGGGAAAGAGAGACTCCCCTCTACTCTCCCTAAACGTCTTGTTACCAAAGCCAGCAGATAATGCTGTTTTTAAAGGGATGAGTGTTTTGGGGTTTTGTAGCACTAGCCTTTTTTGGATTTAAGGGATTTCCTGAGATCTAATCCATAGCAGAATTGAAGTTTATCCCATCACAGGAGCCTGTTTGTAGAAGGGCTCTGCATGATCAACACCATGTTTAATGTAGGTATTAGGATACAGCAGTGATTTATCTTGACTAGCATTTCTATACAGGAACAGCGAGAAGTGCTACTGTGGCAGTAAGGTAAAAGAAGCCACAAAACAGTCGTGAAAATGTTAATTTTCCTCTTTGCTATGAAATCCTAGCTTTTGGCAGATCTGTGGACATCTTCAGCATTCCACTGAAGACTAAATCAAACCTCTCTCTAAATGGGCTTTAGAGCTGGCAGTTGGAAGAAGCCATTTATGCTATCTAGTAATTTTTCGTTGGCAAAGTGCCTTGAGCTGACATTTGTCCCATCAGTTTGAGAATAAGTGAACTTGCCCATTATTATTGTGCTTGTCCCTCCTGTATCTTCTCTGCCTCCCTTCACATTAAATTCTAGCATAGTCAGAGTGGCATTTTTTATTGTCTTTAGAGAAAGACGGGGGGGGGGGTGGAGTGCTTATTTACTGCAGAGAGCATAATGCCACTGAAGGACACCAAGTAATTGTAGCCAATCTTATCAAAACCTGCTAAGCTTCAAAATAGTCATTCAATAGCAGTCTATTAGCAGGGGGCGAGATAGAGCCATTAGGATAACCAAGGAGAGCGTGTATAATTTTCTAGCTTTATTTATAAGTAAATAAGCCTGGAGATGAGGTGTTAAGGGAGCCTCGTGGATACTTTATTTACACATTCCTGCTGGCAAAGCAGCAAAAATACTTTCCCTTTTCACTTTTTCATACCATATTGATGAGTACAATTTTGGAGACTGCAAAGAAACACAAATGATAAAGATCAGATAGTTTCCTTAATTATAGCTATAGAGCAAGGGTTAGGAACTTCTGGCCCATGAGCCTGGGATAGGTCCCAGGAAGGCCCACAAGGCCATTTCACACAAACCATAACCACTTCCCATGTTCCAGATATCAGGTGTGGGGCAGGTAATGATGTAGCTACAAAGGAAGAATTAGGAACTTAAAGTGAGCATCTGATTATTCCTTTCCTTGCTGTTAGCAGTAACGGCACCAGGAAAATATTTGACAGGGACCACAGAAGGGGCAAAGCATATTTATAGGTGAACGAGAAAGAAATCTAACAGCATATGTGAATGACAGGTGAACAGAAATGAGGGGCAGGTTGGTGGGACAAGCTCCTTGTTGGCACTTGCCCACCTGTCTATGTTTTCAGCTGCTTCCCTATATCGGTTTTATTTTCTTCGAGAATTTTTGGTGGGTGTTGATTTTCATGATACAGTGGTGCCTCGCAAGATGAAATTAATCCGTTCCGTGAGTCTTTTCGTCTTGCGGTTTTTTTGTCTTGTGAAGCACGGCTATTAGCGGCTTAGCGGCTATTAGCGGCTTAGCGGTTATTAACGGCTTAGCGGCTTAGCTGCTTTAAGGAAAAGGAAACAAACTCGCAAGAACTCGCAAGACATTTCGTCTTGCAAAGCAAGCCCATAGGGAAATTCGTCTTGCGGAACGACTCAAAAAACGGAAAACCCTTTCGTCTAGCGAGTTTTTCGTCTTGCGAGGCATTCGTCTTGCGGGGCACCACTGTATATTGTATTTTTTAACAAGGCTTTGTCTGTAAACCATGCACAGAATAATTATTGATGGCCAGCTATATAATTTCCATTGTTAGACTTTTAAAGATGCAATATAAAAATTAAGGTTCCTAACTGCTCAAAATCTAGTATTACAATATAAGCCATGCTAAGAATTAAAAGTTAATGATCTCGTGAAAACTGCAATAAGAAGTGCAAAAGCCAAGTAATCAGAAACAAGCTTAAAATAAAGAAAGTAGGCTGATCAAATTCATTTATAATCTAGATAATTAAAACCAAAGTAGCAGGCAAAATACATTAACATGTAGGAATAAACTTTCGTAAGTGCTTGGTCATCTAGTGAGGCAGTTAGGAACATCTCAAGGCAAAGAGTTTCCAAACCTACACCACTCACCAAAAACAAATTTCATACTCATTCCCAGTAAGAGAGAGAGAGAGAGAGACCACCCAGTCTGAAGGAGAGTCTGAAGTTATTCCCACATGTTTAAAATAGCCCTGGCCCTTGCCTTTGCTGTCCACCTAAAGCAGTGACACCCAAATGAAACTCAGACATTCACACTTCAGAGAGAAAGAGAAGCATGCATTTCTGATGTGGATTTCCAGTTTTTAGTTGTGGTTTGCAGGGAGCCTTCATCAGGGAGCCTCATCCTCTTCCCTCTCTTACATTGTTGCTGTCAATCGTGGTTTAGTAATACATTTGAACTGACACTAGACCCCTGAACCAATATTTGTGAACCCGCTTCCAACCCTTATTGTGGACTCTGTTGTTTTTTTTAGTGTTGCTTAGATTTGGCAAGGTACAGATGTAATTCTACTTTATGGTTTAAGTCTGACCAGTTAAGGGAAAGGGCATTTTTGCAGCATAGGTTCTTCGGGTCGATTCCTCATTTATAAACCAGTGCTTTGAACTGAGGTACCGCTCTGGCGGGAAGGTAAACAGCGTTTCCGTGCACTGTTCTGGTTCGCCAGAAGCGGCTTAGTCATGCTGGCCATATGACCCGGAAGCTGTACACTGGCTTCCTCGGCCAATAAAGCGAGATGAGCGCCGCAACCGCAGAGTCAGCCACAACTGGACCTAATGGTCAGGGGTCCCTTACCTTTTACCATTATGTGTGTGCTAGGCTGCTCACTGTTCCATAGACACTATAGCTTGGGTGTGTGTGGGGGTGTATGGATACAATTCCTTTTGTGAGACAGTAACCCCACATTTTTATTGTAATGCTTGTGGCATTTCCATTTTTAATGCTTTGGAAATTGAAGCTTTTGAAGCCCTGATCTTTGGTGTTTATGCAAGGAAGTAAATCCTATGGAGTTCAATAGAGCCAATTGCCATTTAAGAACACATAACATCATGCTGTTAGTTAATATAAAGATTCTTAATCTGGCAGCACTCACCCCTTCAAAGCATTTGTGGAGGATGATAGTGGTAGCCTTTTTATGTGCTACAGCTCATCAAGTCAATGCATAGGTTATGTCTTTTTCTTAGCATAGGATATAACACCTCTCCTGGTATAAATGTGCTCCAACCCAGGGTTCTAAAATGTTTGATGTTCACAACAGAAGCAAGCATGCTTTCTGAATGACTTGAAGCAACATAAACAGATAATGAATGTGACAGATAATGAAAGCAAGTTTATTAAAATAAAATAAAAAATCCATGTTAAATCTTCCTTTGATGATCTTTGTCAATCAATTGCAACTTTGCCAATAACTATAATATCCTGGTGTTGTTGTTTTCTAAAATGATGGAAGAAAAGTAGCTTCCTCAGAAATAATGATCTCATGCCAGCTTTATGAATTCAATAACTAATTACCTAATGTGCTGATGCTTAATGATAATTGTAGGTTTTAGTCATTGGAACAGAGTGTGATTGTTGCTATTCTGAACCACGTTATCTGGGTTTGAGTAATTTCTTGCTAATTATATTTTGTAAAAACATTATTAAATCAGGTTTCCGCCTGACATTAAGAGTATAATCATCTTAGTGCCTTCTGATCTCATTGGAATACCTTACGTTTGAAAGGATCTAAAAATTACCTATTCCGGTAATATATGATTTCTTGAATTCTGGTACATTAGAAGCCCTTTTTAGGTGTTCACAAAATGTACATGTGCTCACCCTACCCGCAGTGTGCCTATGTTTTTTGGTTCCAACCCATCTCTCCTGACATGCAAAAGTATGCAGTAAAATGTTAACTGCTGAGAAAGAACCAGTGGTTGAGCACCCAGCATGCATGCAGTGGGTCCCAGGTTCAGTCCCTAATATATCCAGGCAAAGCTGGGAGAGACCACTTCCTGAAACCCTAGATAGCTGCTGCCATTCAGTGTAGACATTTCTGAACTAGATGGGCCAGTGGTCTGACTCACAAGGCAGCTTCCTACATTTTCTCTCAGACCTTCATATTCAGTGCACAAAGAGAAGAAGTGCCAGCAGTAATAAACCAATGAGAGAACAAATGGCCTCTTTGGAATGCCCTGTAGGAAGCCGTCATGTGCCTTCTATTGAAATGTTGTATCATTTCTGCAACCTGAGCTAGAGCCTGCAAAATGTCAATCAGACCCGTCTTCCAAATACTTTTGGGGGTTGCAATTCACCACAAGGAACTGATTAGAGTTCTGAAGGCTCGTCACATTAACTCTGGAATTATTAGAAAAGAGAACAAGTTGCTTTCCATGTCTCCTGATCTGTATCTTTTCTCTTCTATATATGTGATCGAATTTCGATATATGGAATTACTGCCATTCTTTGAGTTGCCTTTCTCAATTTACACCCATGCGGAATGGAAAGTCATATATAGTTTGATTTCAGAGCCTTCTGTTAAGCAGCATTGGATGGTAGTTCTCTTTCCCCTTCCTGGAAATGGCATGTTTAGGATGTAATTTATTTTCTTCTGAGGCTGCAGTATCACCGACAAGGTTTGATATAGTGAACTTTAACATGTAAGTCTAGAAGAAAACCATAGTGAAGTGATTTAGTTTACCTTGTCTGTGATACAGAATTCAGGCAGCTGATTTGCAGAAGGCTTATATGAATCAGCCAGATAATAAGCCAACTTGCAGAAGCCAAGTCAAGTGGGAAGACTTTGTGAGTAGTCATCATACCTCATTATGGCATACAGGAGCCATCTCATGAAGCAGAATCTCTTCTCCGTGAAATAGAACAACACAGCTAAATTTGTACTCTCTGTGGTCAGTGTTTTTTTTGGTGTTTTTGTAAAAAAAAAAAGAAAAGCTCAACAACAATAAACAAGGTCTCCATAACAGAAGGAAATTGCTCAGGTAAAATTTACAGTAATTGATCTGCCTAGTATTGCCTCTGTCCATCACCACCGGCATAAAGTCCTCAGAACGTTGCCCAGAAGGTAAATGAGGTCCTATAGAACGACATAGAAAAGCCACACATACAGGATGGAAACCACTGACAAGCAAAACAAGCTCACACAAAGACGGCACATATGTGTTGCATAGCTTGCATATACAGTTGCTTCAGCAGCTCCTGTCTCTAGGACATATTGTTTATGAACTTACAGTAATTAACACACACGCCTAAAAATCCTTGTAATCAGTTTTGTATTCTGATTTACAGGAGATGGCATGCGGGGGGGACTCTGCAAAATTGTTAAACATTTGTCTTTCTATTAGCTCCTCTTGCTACTAATAATTTTAGCATGTTTTTGACGGTGTGTGCAGAATTAATCAAATCCCGGGGCTTTACCCTTCTGATGGGACAATAATTCCAATCTGCTTCTCTGGGGATTTCTTGATGACAGCAAAAAAATTCCCTGGTTGCTGCAGTTTCTGACTGACCTCGAAGCATCTGGCATCTCACATGGTGACAAGAGAAGCGATGTCAGGAATGGCGTGTTATGTTTTAGTGAGGACAGGATATGACAGTGATGAGGTAGCACACGTTATAATAGCTATTCCTGTGAGGATTTTGTAAATAACAAGATGAAAAGTAATACACAAAAAAAAACCTCTCAACACTAATTTTCCATATGGAATGTAAGAAGTGTGTGTAGGGTCCATAAGCACCAGTGCTGCTAAATAAACAACTCTAAAACTGAAGTGTTTGTATAAAAATCTGGTTCTAGATGTGACTGAGGAGAAAGTGTCACCTTTCATGGAACCATTCATCACCCATGAACTTGTAGGGGCTTTGGTAGTACCATGTAGGTCAGGGGTTCCCAAACTGTGGTCTGTGAGTCTCATAGACTACCTCCATGAGCTTCATACAGGTGGTTCACAAGGTTTCTGTAAAAATGCAATTAAGAATCATACAGTATCTCTAGCATCTACAATGGCTACAACAGGCCAAAAAAATCATTAAGTGGTCCACCAAGAACCTAAAGCACTTTTCAAGTGATACGTGGGTTGGTGGGGGAATTTGGGAACAACTGGTGGAGATACAATGCAATTTTCATTCTTCTGAAAAAGGGTTTCTGCCATTCATGCACAAATGAACTGCTATAAGCAGGAGCAGCCTGGTGGCTTTCCACACTGAGGATAACCCAGTGGGAACAACACTGTGCCATGGCATAGCATTAAAAAATCAAAAAGTTGTGTGTCCCAACTCACCTGTGATTGTTCTACAAATATTGGATCTGCATATGACTTTTAAAACTTGTTCCAGGCCCTTCCAGTGTGCCAGCTTTATGATACCCATTCCCTATAGATCCCATATCTGGCTAAATGGTTGTGTATTCTCCAAATGTGTACTTTCTCTGTTATGGCACGAAGGGGGCACATTCCTCTGATTGCTTGCTGCAAAATGGCTTGGACTTGGCCCTCCCAATCCCCTTTCTCTGTTTCACCTCCAGGATGTGAATTAATGCCTGTGTTGTATTGGGGGGGGGGATATAAAGCACCCTGAAATCAAAACAGGGATGAAGAGTCTGTGACCTTCCAGATGTTGTTGGACTACAACCCCCATAATCCCTGGCCATGGACTGTGCTGGCTTTGGCTGATGGAAGTCCAGCAGCATCTTGAGAGCTATAGGTTCTCCGTCCCTAAAATAAAGCAATAAATAAATCAGTGAATTGGCTGGTGGTTGGTGGTCATGCTCTATATGATTCACTTCCAAAATTCATGATCAGTTTTGCAAAAGAAACAAAAGGTTGTCTTATTACCTAAATGCAACCAGATTCCATTTAAATGTCTACATCTTTCTTAATAACACAAAACATCAAATACCAATTTTCACTGACGTTTTCATTAACATGATTGGTTGCCACAAGCTGCGTTTACTAATATGATGCAAAATAGTTTTGTTGTTATTGATCACATATTCATTGATGCTTGCCACCTCACAACCATCAATAAGTATAACAATGAATTTACTCACAAGGAAAACAGCACAGGGATAATAAAGATTGAAAACAACTAAACCAGTTGCTTACTTACAAAGGGAAAAGTATAAAATTGCATCAGTAAAGATTTTGCTTCACAATCCAACTGACACCTCAGCTGAATAACATGAACGCCAGCCCTGGCCTGGTGGAACGCTCTGTCACAGGGGACCAGGGCCCTGCGGGATTTGACATCTTTCCACAGGGCCTGAAAGAGTGGAGCTGTTCCACCAGGCCTTTGGTTGGGGTTCAGTCTGACTCCCCTTTCCCCCATAAGAACTTGCATGAAAGTGGCCTCCCAACTTTTTCTCACAGGCTCATATAAGATCAGCATAAACAGTTGGGCCTGGTGAGCATTTAAGGTCCCCAACCCTAATCTGTGGCTTGCCATCTGATTGGATTTTATTCTGATCCTGATCTGATTTTAGGATGTATTTTAATTGATTGCCTGATTTTATGTTAATGTGTTAAACATTTTATGTTAGCTGCTCTGAGCCCGGTTTTTGCCGGGGAGGGCAGGGTATAAATAATAATAATAATAATAATAATAATAATAATAATAATAATAATAATAATAAAACATATTAGTGATAGGCAAACCTTCCCAATGCATGGAATAGGCATTGTCATGGACTTCTAGTTTTCCTGCACAATGTGAGTTTTGTACTGATACCATTAGAGTCCAAAGGGAGTTAAATTTAATTCACCACTTGCCATTCTTTGTTTTAGAAAATACCTCTAGTATTTTCCTTATTATCTCAAGCCCCCCCCCCCCACCATAGCATACTGCAGACCACAGTATAACATTAGTACAAATGGTACCTTCAAGTTAAGAATTATGAATATAATGAGATACGGTACATTAACTAAAGGTGTTGCATAGTTTCAGACTTAAAAAGCTATTTTGCTTGGACCAGAATATTTCAAAATGGACTGAATGTGTAATTCAGTTCTAGTATCAGAAGCCTTGATAATTTTTGACGAGGTGACTTCCCCCGTGATTTTTGTGTTGTAAATGGGTCTCCAAAGTAACATCCCTTTGTCGTGAGATCAGTAACCAATGTGCTAAATGTTTTTCCCCTCTGTGGCCCTGGCTCTTGTCAGTGGGCAGGTTGCTGTTGATCCTGTAGTTTTGACTGTTTTTTCCCCCTCCAAATGTCAACATAATAATATAGGGTTGTATTTTAACATTTGGTCTCCTTTTACTGCCCATGCTGTATACAATAACAAACCGTGTGCTTTTCTTATAGGGGACACCAGCAAGTTGGGTGAGGTATAAAGTGGATGTGGTCCAGTTCCCTTACAGTGCAAGTATCTTTGATGTTGAAGAAGATTCTGGACGTGTGGTTACTCGTGTGAACCTTAATGAAGAGCCCAGTACATTATTTAAGGTAATAACATCCACATATGCACTTTAATATATTTTCGCACTGGAGTGGCTACCTCCCAGCCTGAGGGCTCCATCACACTATGTAGCATTTTTTTCTGGTCCTCCACAACCCCACTGAATGGCCCCAAAAAGAAAGAAAAAATAAATCAGAGCCAGTGCTGGCTAGGGATGAGCAATCACAGGGATGAGCAATCACAGATTCTGCTGCACTGTCTCCAAGCTGCTCAGTTTGAAACAATCTCCAATTAAATCAGAGGGATCTACACTCAGGCAAATATGTATAAAATGAGGAAGGGGGTGCCTGCAGTTCTTATTCTTATTCTTTTTTACTTTTCCTTGTTATCAAAGCTTTGTACTGACAGTTGCTGGTTGAGGAGATCCATTAAGTTAATTAATGTTTGCAACTCAGTTTGTATTTGTCTGTTAGGATTTCAGTTGACGCTGCAGCTTTAAAAGCTCAGATTATAATGCATCATTTTACAGAAAATCGAATTCAGTGTAATTTGGGGGATGAGTGTTCATATATATATATATATATATATATTCCCTGAAGGAAATACTGGTTCAAGTTATGATAATTAATTATTATTCTCTGATATGTTGGGTTAAAGCAGTTCCTTTTTAATCACACATTTTCTTAATTGAAAAACACGCCAGCAACCCCCAAAAAGGTATCTCAATGAGTCTGTGTACTTTAACCCACTCATCTATCTTCTTGAAAAACACCATCTGCTTGCCATGGTTTTCTAGCTTATTTGCTTATATGTGTGTGTGAAACTATGACAGAAAGTGAAGTCGCTTCACTTTTTATAAGTAGAAGGAATGTATTTAATGGGTTTTAGGCATCTTGATACCTTTGCTTCAGGAAAATGTTGCCATGAATAATCCATTAAATTATTATGGGACCATCAAAGATTGCAGACGTGTACCTTTCAATAATTTAAGTTCCAATCCTAAATATGCTTACTAGGGAGTAAATATCCACAGGATTGTATGCTTACTAGGAAGTAAATAGGCATAGGATTGTACTGCACATTAGTTCTAAAATAAAATTTTGAGAAGACAGAATGATACTAATGTTAAATCTCTTCATCATTTGCATCTATGTAAAAAACACTAGAAACCAAGTTTTGAGATACAATAATGCCAGTATAATTTACACTCATTATCTTGTTATCCTAGTATTTGCTATCTGCAGTGATTCAAATAATTGTGCTCAGGAAGTACTGAATGTAAAATTGAATGCTTTGCTTCAAAAATGTAATAGACTACAACAGATTTTGCATAAGCTTTTTTACACAGAGCTTCCTTGCCCACAAGAGCTTCTCATTCCATGCCAATGAAGACTGCAGATCTGCTGCCTCCATTACAATGAACTGGGTAGCCTATATCAACTATAGTGTATATATGTATATTGTATATACCATGGTTTTATTCTGTATTTTATGCTACGAAACACCCTGAGATCTTTGGATGAAGGGCAGTATACAAATTCAATGAATAAATAAATAAATGAATGAATAATATGCAACAACAATGCACACATCTGGAATGGAGCAAAAGCTGTTGGTTTCTGGATTCTCTGTTTGGAAATTTATGAACTAGTATTTATTTATTTCCCTGAGCTTTCTAGAGTTGTTTTGAGGTTCAAACACCTGTGGTGAAAGATCCAAATAACTTTTAGGGAATTGAAAATCTTTTCAGTAAGACTAGCGAAACTTCCCAGGGGACTGCAGCACACCCCTAATTAAAGTCCTTCCACTTTTTCTTTTCTTTTTTGCATAATATACTTTAATATTTCACTGTGGTTCAGAATATTTATAGGATTAAGCTTTAGGATTAAAGAGTTAGAATTGCACTTTGGGTTCCAAACAGGCTTTTAAAAAAAGTTTGGTTATGTTTGTTTGTTTTGCTACTCATTTTTTATTTCAATGTTATTTTTGCCTTTAAACAAAAGTGAGTAAGTTCATAAAAAAATCAAATGCTGCAAATCTGACAGCAAAAGAAATTCAGAGTGCTTTGCAGTGATGCAGTCACCTGAGCACATCATCGTCACACCTAAAGTTGGCTAGTACGTGCAGAAGCAACAAAAGGAAATGGACTCACTGGCAGGATTTGAATAAACTTTCACAATTTTATTGAATTTAAACATCGAGGATGATAATGTAACAACATTCAATAGTATATGTACATGTAGAATACAACAAACAATGTAACAAACCAGAAGGGGAAGTTAAGGGAAGTCAGGTGGGGAGGGAGAGGATTGTAAATGTAATGGTAAGGTAGGATTGGATAATGGTATGTGATATTTGGAATTTGCAATTACAAAATCTCAATAAAAATATTAAAAATAATAATAAATTGGCTAGTCCGTGATGAAGGAATTAAGAGTTTTCTGGAGACCTGCAAAGCTTGTAGCTGTGAATTTCTACCAGAAGCCAAATGGCATGTAATATGATTGTGTGTAAGACTGGAATTGATCTTCACTATGTTTGTGTGCTTGATAGCTCGTGGTCATTGCCTATGATGATGGGGATCCTGTGAAGTTCAACACCACCACTGTAGAAATTTCAGTATTGCAACCCTCAGTAATTCCAAGGTTTACCCAGGATGAATACAGGTATAGTATGTGTTCCATTTCTACCATTACGTGTGGGATAATGGTTAGAGTGTTGGACTATGACCTGGGAGAGGATGGAGCTCACTGGGTGACCTTGGGCCAGGCACCATCTCTTAGCCTAACCCCAGGGTTGCTGTGACAATGAAATGGGGGGAGGAGAACCATGCATATCACCTTGAAATCCTTGGAAGATAAAGGTGGTATGTAAATGTAAGGAATAAATATTTAAAATATCATCAATATTACTAAAGGGAAATGTGAGGGGAGGAGAAAGAAACTATTATTTGAACTCTGTCATTATGTAGGCTGTGAAAAGTATAATGTAATCAGGAAGCAAAGTTAGCACCAAGAAATAAACAGCGATTTCCTTGTCAGGCTTGTGGGTTGTATCCAACTTAAGTCATATAGCAGACCCATTGAAACAAATGAATTTAGCTAACTTAAACCCACTGGGTCTACTCTGCCTATGGCTTAGCTGGACACAGTCTTGTGTAGTTAAATGTTATACGTTAATGACAACTACCTGTGTCTCATTCATCTGGCTGGTTTTATTTAATTGGTTGCATTCATTCTTCAGTTCACTGATGGGCAGTTACACAGATATGAAGGGCTTATAATTGGATTATGTACCCTTTTATGGCTCCCGTTAATGTATAGAAAGGATCCATAGAATCATAGGATTGTAGAGTTGGGAGCGACCTAGAGGATCATCTTGTCCAACCCCCTGCAGTGCAGGAATATGCAGCTCTCCCATATGGCAATCGAACCTGCAAACTTGGTGTCATCAGCACCATGCTGTAACCAGCTGAGCTATCCAGACATTCCATGACATCAAAGGTCCAACGTCTGCTTATGTTGAGACTCCAGGTCCACCTCAGATCTCTTACCACAAAACTAGAGCTGCTAAACTGAAGTGATTGCATTGTTCTCTTATTTACCATGAAACCATTCAAAAATGTAATGGCATTATTCCCATAGGACGCTCCGTCCCATAGGACGCACCTAGTTTTTTGGGGGGGAAATAAAGGGGAAAAAATTCCCTTTATTTCCCCCCCAAAACCAGGTCGGGGAAACCGAACCAGGTCGAGGAACAGCGGGATGGCGGCGCTGCGCCTCCCTGCTGTCCCCCGAGCTTGTGGGGCTGGCCGATGTCTGCCCGGCGCGCGGGGCGCTCTGCTTCAGCGCGTCCCGCCCGCCGGGTGGCAGGCTGCTATCCGCAGCGTGGGGAGCCCTGCAGGGAACTCCTGCAGGGCTCCCCACGCTGCGGATGTCTGTCCGGCGCGCGGGGAACTCCTGCTTGGCTCCCCACGCTGCGGATGTCTGCCCGGCGCGAGGGGTTGCCATGTATGTTATGCTCAAAACATCTAGAACAAAGCAAAACCAGAACAATTATGCAACGAGAGGGACAGAATTCTGGGATAGTTAATAGGATGTGTCAGAGCAAGCAGAGAAATAAAATAATTTGTTGATTGAAGCTAAAGCATGTGAGGAGTAGAGTTGTTATGCTAGGTTGCAGGGAATTATAAGAAAGATCCCTATTGTGCTGTATTGTTAGTTCTGAATATAGCTGCTTTTCCATTGATCCATTTTTCATATACCTGCATGGCTTGTATGGCATTGGACACTTATTTGCCTGTGATTCTAGCTATGTGAATCACAGGCAAATAAGTTACACAATTTACACAGGAACTGGTAGGCATGGACACATCAGCAGGCTATGTACAGCATTTGGATAATTGGGTGCTTTAACAAAGAAGACGAGTTCATTAAATGATGTGCTCTGCTGCTTATGGATTCATTCAGAATTTGACAGTGGCATGTTTTTAGCATCGCTGTGACTGTAATCTGTACATGTGCAAAATTAATTTGAAGTTAAGAAAAAGGAATCTTTCTGGGGGAAAGGAACACAGAAGTCCTTCTAACTCTTTCTAGCATTATAAAATGTGCAAAGGCCAGATGTGAAATTAAACCTAAAGCAGAAATAGTTAAATTAATATCTGGTTGTGTGTGTGTGTGTTTAGAAATGGCATCCTCTTGTGATTAATTACCCTTTTTAAAAAAGTAAAAGATCAAAGGTACCTTGGATTTTTGTTAATTAATGCATATCTTGTCCTCTTACACAACTAGAAAGTCATAGTTAATAGCCATGGACTGCAATTGTAGGCAATAAATTGCTAGCTAAAGAGTGCAATCAATAGCTATTAAGTATTGCCTGTGGGCACATTTAACAGGTGTTCAAGCATTTTATGTCAAGTAAAGGAAAATAGTCACATCTTTCAAATGCATTGAAACAGCAAAGTAAACCCTAGGCTCCATTTTGGGAAATTGGTCTGTTGTTAAGGAACACTAACTTTCTGTTAAGGGCTTTATTTCTTGCAGAAAAAGTGAAATACCAAAGGTCACAGTGTTCAGTTGATGTTGTTGCAACATGACCTTTCTTTCTATAAGCATGATCCAGTGCACAGATTTCTAATTCACAAGAATGATCTTGACTGACCAGAATGTTCTCCTCTCTGCTCTGTTCCTATTTCCAGGCATGTGCCATATAGGGTAAGATAAAACTGTGACTGAGAAATTAGTTGTACATAACAGTTAAGGAGACAGTTTGAGTGAAGACAGATGTTAACCTTTCAAAAGGAGAGAAGCACTTTGCTTTTACTATCCTTAAAGTGTGTGTGTGTGTGTGTGTGTGTGTGTGTGTGTGTGTGTTCTGCTGTCAGTTCTGTCTGTGTAGTTTTGTAAACAGTTTGAAATCTTACTAAATTTCCTTCTGCAATGTGAAGTGTGAGTTTTTATACACAGAAACGTGTATGTGCCTATTTAAACAATATTTTAAAGTTAATCAACCTACTTGGCACACAATGGAGTGGACAAGATTGACTTCCTCAGCATGGGAAGCAAATTGTTATTTCACCATTCATCTTGCCTGCATGTACATCTGTTGTATAAACTATGACGCTGTGTTCACACCACAGCTAAAAAAATGCAGTAAACATTGTCAGCTTGACTTTACATGGTGGCCAAAAATATGAAAAGTAATGGCTGGGAACTATTTTTCTGTAGCAGCCAGACAGCAATCCATGCTTTCTAAAGAAGATGGTTTTGTAAATACTAGACCCTTGTATTGGCTATGTATAAAGGTAGCCTTGATGTCAGTATCCTAAGAGAGCTCATGTATTTTCTCTTGCTGGTTAAGGTTTCCTCTGGATAAGCACCATGGTGGTTCAAGAAAAGCTAGTTTTGCATTAAACACTAATGTTATCTATTAACCCAACAGCTTAACTATGCTTTCTTATTTATTACCAAGAAACCATGATCCTTGTTTAACTATGGATTGTGTTACGTTTAAACCCAGCACCCTTACTTAATCATCATTTGTATGGCCATCCACCACAGACACAGTGGGGAAACAAACCAAAGTTTTGAGAAACAAACCATGGTTTGCTTGATTTATCTGTGACACAACTCATGGTTAACTCATAGTTCAACAAACCATGGCTTAGCATTGTGTGAGAACCAAGCCAATATCTTTCCAGCCATTTCATCTCTTTCCTGTTCATTTTCTGTGTGGGCCCACTTGAGTATAATGATCCCAAGAACATCTTTTGCTCTCACAAACCAAAGCATTTTCACTAGCAGGACTTTCTCTTTAGAATGCTCAAAAAGGCACAACAAATCAAAGTATTCTTCCTTAGAGGATTCTGTACAATAATACTTCTTTTCTCCTCCTTCTTTCAAAGTCAAATAACTGAATCTCAGGACACCTCCCTAAGGGAGTTTAATACAGAAGACATGAGGCATGTAATCATAGCAAGATTCTGCATCAACTGCTACAGTAAAGGAAGACTTTCTTCTGACCTTCACAAAGAAGTTTAAAAAAAGTTTTTTCAGCTCTTACTATTATCAAAAGAAAGGAAGGGGCTGCTGAATAAATTCTTAATGGCAAACATCCCCCAGCAAAATCATTTTTAACAAATACAGTCATACCTCGGGTTACAGCCGCTTCAGGTTGCGTTTTTTCGGGTTACGGACCACCACAATCCAGAAGTACCGGAAACAGGTTACTTCCAGATTTCAGCGGTTGCGCATGCGCAGAAGCGCTAAATCGCCCTTTGCGCATGCTCAGAAACGCCAGATCGCAACACGTGCGTGCGCAGACGCACAGGTGCGGGTTGCGAACGCTGCAGGTTGCGAACGTGCATCCCACACGGATCACAAGCGTCCACTGTAGTATAAATTTATCATAAAAATTTAAGAATTCTTACACCTTCATTTTTCTTTCTTTCTTTTCTTATTTATTTATTGAGCAGCACATCCCACCTTTTCACTGTCTTTCGGCGTACAGAATAACCTTTCCATATCTAATTCATCTTGGCAACTATGCTGTAATACTTGATTGTTAAAGAGCTATTTAAAGAGTGCAGTTTGAACCCCTATTCTTTTGATTCTGAAGAATTTCTGACAAAAATATTGACTTCTAGCTTTCATTTTGAATCCTTGCAAGGACTACACAAGGATGCATTGCACCTGATGACATTAAGTCCATCAGAATGAAGTTTGACATTTATCTTTAAGGATAATAGGCCATGTCAGTGGTTCATTGTAATAATACCTAAACTCCCTTGTCATCTTTTTTTTGAGGTAAATATCACCGAAAAGGTCAAAACTTCATGAACCAATATGACAAATGTAAGGAGGGGGCATAGGAAAAGACACACAATCCCACTGAACATACCTTGCAAATAATATTGCACAGAAGAAAAAGAAACAATTTAAATTGGCCTTCTGGAAGCAGTGAATGTTGGCAGCTCAGCCTATTGCAGATGTTTTACTGACGTGGTACAGCACACACAAGCACAAAGGCATGCAAAGGTGAAATGCTATAAATTAAAATATGTCAGCTAAACTTTACAGAGCTCTAAAACAGAATGATTTTATTCTCTGGTGCTCAATGGAACAGAGAGTGAACATTAGGACCACTTTTCTTCTTAGATTCATGAATGGAAGTCACTGCAGTGTGGCTCTTTACCACACTAGGAAAGGAATATCCAAAGCCCCAGACCGCAGGAGAGAAGTCTGTTCCTCCTCTGTGCTTGTGGGTCCCCAATTTACAATCATCTGATAAGTGGGAAATGCTTGAAGTTACACATATCCTGTCTCCATACCTGTGACCAGCAGATCACATGCATTCATTGCCAAATGCAACATCCAGCTTCAGATAGCACCCATCTCAGAGGAGTACACATTTGCACTCCTGACATTCCTGCAGAGTCTGTTATTTAAGAGCTTGATGGGCAGGGCGTGGATACTGTTGGGACAACTTTGTTGTTTCCATCCAGGTCTGAACATCTTGGTTGATGCCTGAATTTCTGAATTGTGACTCCTGAACTGTGGCCGTTGCCAAGCCTATATATGCCTGGATAAAGATCTTCTGTTACACATAAGAGCCTCTGTTGGCATATGTTGAGCATGAGACATGAAAGTGTGTTATAATGTACACATGCTTCATACTTAGGGGGGTTGGAATGGGACTATGACTGAAGGAGACAGATTACTACTACCACTTTTTTATAAAAAAGCAAATATATTCTTAAGAAGGCCAAGACATGTTTGTGAGTCGAGGCCCCGTCCCCCACTTTCTGATGAAATAAGACACATGGACACCAGTATTTTAGGTTAATGGGCTAAAAATGGCCACAACTTTATTGGTTACAGAATGTGAGTAGTATTGGCTTAGGGCCTAGACACTGGATCTGAACAGACTATACTTGACTCCTGCCCACCCTGCAGGATTCATACAAGGGTTAACAACATGTAGGGGGAACATGTTGGTGGAAATCAACTGGAAACTCCCCTAGAGTCACCGGAGGGTCGTGCCATGGCCCTAGCCACCACCTGGGCTTCGGACAGGAACCATGACCACTGGATTCCTTTAATGGAATACCCTTCAAGGGGATGGGTAGGTGATGGCCACAACCTCCCCTCCAACACACAATGCATTTTCCAATGCCTAACCACCAAACCTTACAAAGTTGTGGCGATTTGCTATGAGGTAGGCAAAAAAACCAAGTGGCTGGTGCCAATCTGCCAAGTGGAAAAAAATTCTACCAGGCCCCTTCAACAGGTGACCAACCGAGGTCCATAGCAAGGTCAGGTGTTGAATGCATGAGAATAGAGGGAGGGAGGAGGGAGATCCATGTGTGCAGGAAACAAATAGGCTCAGCCACGGTCCTGTGTTTGCTTAAGAGCAGCAAACCACGCCCCCTAGCCAGCCGCATTGGCTGGCAGGAAGCGAGACCCACTCACAACCCCTCCTCTCGGCGATGCTGAGGAGCTGGGCAACCTTAGGAGCAGGGCCACCTGCACAGGCCCACTGTCCCTTTGTAGAAATGGAGCCCCTCTGTGCAATTAATGCAAGATTCTGGCTTAATAATTGACCTTTACAGAAACAGGAAAAGCATTTGAGGTAAAATACACAGGACAAACACAGCCACATATTAGCTTTTATCCTTTTTACCCATTCAGTTCCATATGTTTCGACAGAAGTTTCTTAAGGGACTAACAGTATGTTTTCATTGAAGTGATGTATTGTTCTTTGAACCTGATTGCATTAGTTAACTCAAGGAAGTTAAATCGATAAGGCACAATTACTATAAGGTTACAAAGAACATGAATTTTGGTGTTTCTCTATTCACTTCCTTCAAATTCTCCATATTGAATGCAAAAGCACCTTCCTAATTGATATTGATTTCTCAATCCATAGAATTCAGCAATGTCAGAACAGGAGTTACAGAGATGTTACTAAAAAAAGAAAGTGCTAAAAACAGGTTAGGATCAAAAGAAGGGTTTTTACACGCACTCCCCCAAAAATCCATTTTGAATTTTTAAAGACTTCATCTTAGAAAAGTGGACATGGAAGGAATCTAGCCTGCAGGTCTTGAAAATAACAAGGTAGAAAATTGTTTGTACTTTATTTGAGTTTGTCAAACGTACCTTGCTCACCAGTTACATCAATAACGTATTGTTATCATTACTTGAATTTTGGTGTCATGCAGACCAATGCAGATGCCAGATAAATGAGAAAAGTTTAATTGAAAACCAGTTCAATCTGTTGGATTACAATTAAATTTATGATTCTTATCCTGTCATCCATAACTTCACTATAGTGTCTGCTATCAGATTTCAGTCTGCACCCAACTGCACCCCAAATGCTTCTATATGGGAAAATCAGTCACAAAATAATTCTGTGGCTCTGCATTTCCAAATATCTACTAAGCATTAAGTAGCAAACATTTCTGCTGTTCTTTAATGAAAAGCATGTCACTCCAACTTGGAATTCAAATGTGAAAATTTCACTTTTTAAATACTGTATTTTTCGCTCTATAAGACGCACTTTCCCCCTCCTAAAAAGTAAGGGGAAATGTGTGTGCGTCTTATGGAGCGAACGCAGGCTGTGCAGCTATCCCTGAAGCCAGGAGAGCAAGAGGGATCGGTGCGCACCGATCCCTCTTGCTCTCCTGGCTTCAGGGATAGCCGCGCAAAGCCTCTTCAGGGCAATGGGAAGAACGCTCCCCTTCCCCTGAAGAGGCTTGGCACAGCTATCCCTGAAGCCGTGGAGAGACACTGCGCAGAGAGGGAGAGAATATTTTTTTTTCTTGTTCTCCTCCTCTAAAACTAGGTGCGTCTTATGGTCGGGTGCATCTTATGGAGCGAAAAATACGGTGCCTTTTTAGGTGCACTACTAGCAAAGGCTGTAGCTCTTTTCACGCATTAATTGTGTGCATGGCAAGCAAGGATACAAAAGATAGAAAAGGGCAACCCAGTCAATCAATGGGGATAGAGCAAATACCCTATGAAAAAGGTTACAATGCAGGGTACTCACTTGACCTCTGTTTGCTTTGCATGGCTGCTGCTTACCAGGAGGTAAAGGGGGATTAGGCAGAGGCTCTGAAGCCCAATATTCAGAGGAAGGATGACTGAGTTGGTGTTAACATGCTTACGGAAGCAGAATGGATCCCTGTATCCCTGTTGGAGGAGCACACTTTATCCTGGATATAATCACAAGGAGACTCTGCTCTTAAGAAAATAAAAGGCTGTGTTTATTGCAGGAAGTACATACTTGAAAGCAGAGATCCTAGTTCTAACTAAGGTGGAGATGTGAAGAGCCATGCATGCTCTTTCATCTCAGCAAGAGACACACACAAAGTTGTCTCTTCTCCCAAGGAAAGGCTGAAGAAGGAAATGAGGCCAACAACTCTTGAGAGTATTGGTCTAAGGGAAGATCAATAGGTTAAGTCTAGAAAGAAAGTCTAGGAAGGTTCCTCTCTATCTAGCCTTCCCATGCAAGTATATCAGCGTACGGTGAAATTTCATCCCAACATACTGAAGCTGAGTTAGAGTACTGGCGTTATCTTAGAGCCAATTCTCTCTTTATATTTTGTATTTTGGTATGAATAGATAACTAAATACAGAAGATGTGGGTTTCCCTGTATTTAGCCTGCATAGACACATACATGCAGAATTAGGTGTGTGCCTATTTTTAAAAATCCAGTCTTTCCCATAATTGTTTCTAATTTTATATTTGCATGCACACACCCTACATTCTGGATATGCATACATATTGTCATCAGATGTACGGTCTGAGTATAAAAAGTAAAATGAAAATCGGTTCTAAAGATGCATCGAACAAGAGCAATGGGATAATCCATCCATGCTTGCCATGGACATTTACAGAATGATCAGGGCTCATATTTGACCTGATTTGAAAAGATTCATATAGCCCTTAGGCCTACGATGTCCTGCAAAATGGTGGAGAAAGGTAAATTGATTTCAGCATTTTCCTTTCCTTTCAAACTGATCTAACTGAATAATGGCTTCATGTTCAAAGGTGCAGGGAACAGCATTTTATTGCCAAGCACATTTATTTGTGACTGCTGCTTGACAGCAGAGACATTTTAGAGAGAAGCTTCTCAGGGCGCGCGTCTCCATTGCATGGACCTTTTGCAAAGACAATAACTAGCAACTACATTATTCTTTCTAGCTCAGCCTTAGTCCTGAGCTTACTTCTTTCGGCAAGTTTATCCAGCCTCTTTTGTGCAGAAATCTTTTGTGCAGAAGACAGGAATAATCATAGATGTGATTAAAGCATTTAATCAATGGCATAGATTACCCACCAACATTTTCTGCAATAAGGCTGGGGGGGATCTTATATGGCTGTGAGAATATTGGAATTCCTTCCACAAGCAATCAGGCAGACCCATGTGGGAAAGGGATTAAAATGTTTACATATTCACTTGTAGCAGCAAATTTAGGCAGCAATCATGCCACTGTTCTAATGTTTGATTCAAGCCATTATTGTTGCTTTATTCTGTATGCTTAATTTTTTCTTTATTTCATGTCAGGCAACCGCTGGAATTACATGATCCTAGTTTTACATAGCTTCCAGTTTCTTCTTGTCTCCCAGACAAGGAGAAAAATCTTGTATATATTATTTCAGTAGAGCACTGAGAACGTGACAATAAGAAAGAGCAATCTGTTTTGCCCAATTTTGCAGGCCCCCTCCTGTGAGTGAAGGTGCACCCAAAGGAACTCACGTTGTTGTTGTAACTGCTGCTGCTTTGAATCAGACGATTATCTATTCCATTGTTTCAGGAAATGAAGACGGTAAGTAATACTGTCCCAGGTGGTCTAGTACGATACATGAATAAAATGTACTTTTAAGGGAGAGGGGAGGGAACAAATGTCACTAATTTTTCTTTTCTTTGCTGCATTCCAGATGTGTTTGCTATTAATAACAGAACAGGTGTCATCTCCGTCAAAAACCCACTGGATTATGAAACCGTGAAAAGCTATTTACTTCGCGTGCAAGCAGACTCACTACAAGTGGTCCGCTCCAATTTACCTGTGCCATCCAAAAGCAAGTTACTTTCACCTTTTTTATTATTTCTTTGTGCATTTGGATATTTGAACAAAAAGGTCATCTTGCTCTCCCCCTCACTGCCTCCCCCACCACTGATGCTGCACACATTACCTTAAGAATTAATCTGCTACTTTTTTACATACAAAGAGAGCCTCAAGGCACTGCAACTTAATTCTACTATAAGAATATCTAGGACTCTTACTTATTTGGCTCTTACTGTGTGCTAACGATATGCCATGTGTTGTTTGAAAATGTAATGACTGAATACTGCTGTCCTGGTGCATCGCCAACAGCTCTATGGATGGCTTGCTGGTTGTAGGATGTAGGGTGGCTTCTGCACGGCCAAACATTTCATCCCTGCCCAGCCTCCTCCACATGTCAGTCTTTCTGAAGATTCAACACAGTTTGATAAGACCATCACTACTACCACCATCAGGGTGACACAGAATGCCTCTCTTCCATGGAGTTGTAGTAGCATATGGCCAATAAAAGGCTATGTAGCTGTGTACATAAGCAGTGGTGACTGCTACCCATTGGGATTGGTAGGCTGGAAGGCAGGGAGACTAACAGTAGGTGGAGCCAGAGCCCCCATCCTCTTCCCTGCTTGCATTCTACAAGGCTAAAGCTGAGACTGACAGCTTCATCCTCTTGTCTGGTTGTAATTAAGAAGGTGGCTGGGGTGTGGCCGAGAGCTGTAGTTGGTGGGGCAGTGTCCCATCCATACTAATGGACCAGTCTCCGCTGCTCAAAAAGGATGTGCTTACTTTTTAAAAAATGTAATATTGTGGTTTTCTCTGAAGAAAATCCTGCACAGTATATATGACCAAAGTAAGTGTGTGTGTGTGTGTGTGTGTGTGTGTGTGCGCGCGCGCGCGCGTGTGTGTGTGCAATATTCTGTTTCCTAGCTTTCATTTTAAAGGAAACACTTATGTGTTTCATGCATTCTCCAGTACCAATTTACACACAGCTTCTGAAACCTGAAGAAATCTTGAGTTAGCAACTTTTCTAAAAGTTTCTTAGTACAAGAAACAAGTATTTAAATGAAAAGTGTGAATCATAATTAAAGCTGGAAGATTTGGTCAAATAATATAGCAATAAGTTCTGCATGAATACTTTATGAAAGAGTGTCTCCTGGTATGCAGTCAGCAAAGAATGGAAGTCTTTTAAACTTTTCAATAAGCATAATTAAATGTTCATGAAGCTAAATAAGAACAATACATTAATTGGTATCTTAAATTGATTAAAATTTATGGCCATTTAATTTATGAATATCTACTTGCTTCATCCCAATTAATTAAAGTTAATGGATTTAAGTAATAGAACAAGGAGATCATCTTCAAGTTTTAATTTGGTTGGATGGGCTTACTCTGTTCTTCTACAGCAGTGGGGTGGAATGTGTAGCCCTCAATATATTACTGGACTCTAAACTCCAGTTGGCTACAATCAGCATGACCACTGGTCAGAGATTATGGCTGTTGTAGTCCAGCAACATCTGAAGGGTCATAGGTTAGCCATCCATTTAGACAGAGGAAAAAATGCACATTTCTGCTTTTCTGAAAACATTTACCTCTCTGCAGACACGGTTTTCTGTGTGGTTTTTCTTCTTCTTTTGGTGTATTTTAAATACAAGTCTAAGTTGTGATATGAAATGTTTTGTAATGCCACATCTGCCTTCCAGACTACAGAAGTGAACTGTAATCAAATCTTGGAATTATACATTTACTATGGCAGAAAGGGATAGCTATTGACATAGTGGACTATTGCTCCATTATAAGGACGTCATGCAATTAACTGAAGGGGCCACAGTTCAATAGGAGAGGACACGTTTTCTATGCAAAAGGTCCCAGGTTCAATCCCTGACATCTTTAAGTAGGACTGGAGAAGACCTTTGGCTGAAGCTCTGGACAGTTGCTGCCAGTAGATAATGCTGAGGTAGATGGGGACTGGTGTCATGGGGACATGCCTCAGTACATGGCAGTTTCGTAGGTCCCTGAAAAGTGGCAAAAAAGATTGCTCCGTTTCAGAGCAATGATGTTTCCATCATAAGATATGCTGCTAGTTGGATAGGGATGTAGGGGAAAACTCTAAGGGGCACAGCATGTCTCATAAGCAATTGTTTGAATTAATCCAGCCTTCCCATTTGTCTCTGAGTCATAATAACCATGAACCAAAATACTGGGAGTCACGGCAACATGTCTTCTGAGAACATCAAAACACTTGGCTAATCAGACTTCCAAATAATAATGAATTGCAGGGCAATTAAAATAAATTTTGTGATGAAGACAACTTGAATGTTATTGATTCCATTTTATGTTTTTGCTTCAGGGCATATCCTTGTAATGTTTCTCATTCTCATAGGCAGTATGCCAGAAATGATCCCAAAGACTGATGTGAGTGAGTGCACCTCTTATTAAAATTAGCATTCACAGAAAATATCACTCATCGCACACAGCTGCTAGCTCTTCCATAGCAAAGAAAGTCTGTGTTATTTCCTTGGGTGTCCCTGAAAGGCCCCAGTGGTTAAATAGCTTAAGATTCCTCCAACCCACAGAGCTGAGTTTAGAAAATGGAAGGCCATTTTTTTAATATATAAAAAATCTCTATTATCAGAAACATATTTTAATTAAGTAAAGCACTATTTTGAAGTATTTTGTTCCTTATTCAGCCAGTTTTAGAAAGTAAAACAATAACAGTTTTCTTTCAGTCAGTGGCTGTCTGCCAAAACAGCCTCAGCTCTGCACTTTTAGTAGGGAAAAATCTCTCAGCTTCAATATTTCTTTTCCTTTTCCATTTTAAGTCCAATACCTCTTTATCAGTAAAATGATAACAGCACCATCTATATGCATTTTATGGTTCTATTTTTTGTTTTTTCGTTTCCATTGTTCTGCTACCTTTTGTTTTCCAGTACTGTTTCAGATTGTGAACATGGCTTTTTGAGGCTATTTATTCCCAGAGGCTCAATGTTAAAAATCAGTACATATTGATTATAAAGTATGGCTGCCTTAAACAAACACTTGTTGAGTCCATGGGGTGTTTGTCACTTTCATTTCTTCATTCACCAGAGTCAAAATGAATGCAATATTATTTACAACTATGAAGCATGTAAATACTTTAAAGATGATGTGATGTTTGTGAACTGTCCACCAGCCCTGTTTCACTTTCTTGCGTTTCCCCCCCTACTTTGGAAATTCATATATGGTGTGTTGAAAGATCCGCAGAGTTTATCATCATACGAGCCAAGTTCCATTCTTGATGTGTCTTACAGAAACTGTCAAAAGCGTATGACACAAGAGTTCTTATCATATATAAATAGCTGCTTCTTTCATATATATATATATATATATATATATATATATATATGCTTTCGTAGATTTTCACGGGTACAGGAATGCAGGTTTTGGTGTCCTCGGGTGTCTTCCCGTGTAAAAGTTGGGGTGTCTATGCGACGTTTCGACGAGGTCTCACTCGTCATCTTTAGCAACCAATCCACACCTAATGACCCACCTAAGTGGTACTCAGGATATCACTCAAGAAATCACTCAAGATATCCCTCAAGTAATTAAGGAACAAAAGAAGAAAAGGCACACTAGCCTGGGAACTTCCTCTCTGCCCAGAACATTGGAGGCTATACACCACACCCCTCAACAGTATTTATAGGAACTCAAACACTGAGATCCTGCTCTGTTCCAGTAACAAGAAGCCGAAAGCACCAGCCTGAAGATGACGAGTGAGACCTCGTCGAAACGTCGCATAGACACCCCAACTTTTACACGGGAAGACACCCGAGGACACCAAAACCTGCATATATATATATATATATATATGATGGATGTACCTAAATGCTAATGATCTTCCAGACAAGATCAGAAGACAAATCTTGACACGCTTATAATTCATCTGGAGCTGGTAATTGGAAGAAGAGAAACAACAACATAAGGCGGAGATGGCACCACTGACAGGCAAAAGAGAAGAACAAACTTTAGGTGCTAGAAATATGGTTCATTCCAGGCCTGCCATGTTTTGGGGTGAAATCCATCTTCAAGGGCATGTTTCTACCAGCAGCTGCAATGGATGGATTCTACAGTCACTGTAGTAACCCTTGCATTTGAGAATACCTGCTGGACACATGCCCCTGAGGAAGAATGGGAAGAAGACTCTTGAAACCTATCACTTCCACAGAAGTTGACCACAAACATCTTACCCCACTTAAAATGTTGAGCCCACAAATGAAAAGAATTTGAGGCAGAAAGCAAAAATCAATAATTTTGAAGGGGAAAGTTAGAAGTCCACCTTAAAACAATGGTGGTAGGCCACTGTGAGTAGTGGGCAGGGCCAAAGACACCACTCATCTTCTCTCCATTAAGTTCCTCACCACCCAGCACTGCTTCCTTCTCTTTTTAATAAGAGAGAAGCAGTGTGGCATGGAGATAGGGTGAAGCATCTCTCACACACTGCAGATATCCATCCATGCAACATACCCAAAAAATGGGGGCCTTTTGGAAGTGTGGATCCAGTTGGATCTGTGCTTTGAAAGTGCCGTGCTAGATACTACAACATGTGAGTGTCACTTTAAGAGAATGCACCTGGCACTTACTCATAATAAATAATATAAGACACACTCACCTGAGGGGAAAGAAAGAGCATTGCAGTGAAGTGGAATGGAGAATTTCAGGAAACCAAAGCAATGTGTGAAGGAGAAGCTTGGAAAGCAAAAGAAGAACAAAGAGGTCCAAGAGGATAGAAGAAAAGTGTGACAAGATAATATATTTTTGTAAGCATTATACCTTACTAAAGCCATGGCATTAGGGAATTATTATTATTACAGTCACAGTCAGGTGTTTGCATTCTGGAGAGGCCTGACAGAGAATCTAGTACCTTACGGCTTAGTAATGCAATCTGATTCACACCACTGGGGTTGTATCCTACTAGTAGATCACAGTGTTGTCCCATATTCTAGAGAGTTGAAACAGAGGGGTTTTGTCGCATATTTTCTCATA